AAATTAGCTTGGGAGCTTCTCAGTCCTCTGAGACCAAGCATTTTCTAGAACAGATGAATGGTTCTGTCCAAGTATGCTTTTGTGCACTTTCTAAACATGGTCTACAAATGAAGCAGTGCGAGATTTCTGAGACACTGTGAGAAACCTCCAAGTAAATAAGATAAGAGTCTTGTAATCTCTGTTCTTTCAAAACGCAGACTACTCTTAGAATGGGCTTTGTGCCCCTCCATGTTGTTAATAGGTTTGGGTTTTATTTTAGATTACTATCATCTTATCCATTGTTATTCAGAATATCCAGAAAGTTTCCTTTTGACTGTATATAGCTTAAATTAATGTGACCTTGGCCTGAGACTATACATAACTTGAACTATAGAGAACTTTGCTCACATGGAGTTACCTAACCCTCAGAATATAAACTGTCTGATACCATGAATAAAATTAGCTATTCCATAATAGAATGAAAACTTATTTCAAAAAAATAACTTTGCATCAACACATGTGGAATACTGCAGTCAATTAAGGATGCTCAGTGGGTCTTACGTGCTGTTAAAATTACAAAGCGGTAACACTATTTTGAATTAGTGAACAAAATATTGCTCTACATACGTTCTTTTGACATCTTGCTCAATCATTGACCGTAGTTCTTTATCTTGAAAGAACTTGTTCCAAAGACTCTGGAAAAAAATGAGAACAACCTAATTAGAATAATCTCACACTGCTTGACTTTTATGACTTCAATTTAATAATTTAAGTGATTGGATTTATTCTATTCTATGCTGTCATTTTAGATTTCTTAGATAGGAACCTGAGACAGAAATAATTTTTTATTAAAATCTAGTCTAATTCAAAAGTATCCTTTTTTTTTTTAAATCCCTTACTGTGTGCATGTGTGGAGTTTCCATCACTTCTGCAGGATGAAGGCACTTCCACAGCTCTTTCTGATTCTCAGAGGCACACACATGAGTGTTCAAAAATGCAAACTCATAGGGAAAGTCTAAAAATTACTTAAGAACAGGGTAAGGTGCCACACACATTTAATTCCCTCAGTCTGAAGGCTGAGGAAGGCAGATCTCTTTAAGTGTGAGGTCACCCTGGTTTACATAGTGAGTTTCAAGACCATGTAGTAGGACTTTGTCTGAGCAAAACAAAGGAACAAAAACACCATCGAAAAATTACTTAACATTTTATGATGCTAAGGAGAAGCTTATGCTTCAGAGAAAAATGTTATCATACCTATAAAGTGAGAAAAAATTATTCAGCTAAATACACAGGTATAGAGCAGTAACAAGTGCGTAAGTTGTAGAGTCCCTGTTAAGGAATAACTGTCCCTAAACTTCCCTGGAATGTGAACTTCTTCAGAATAATGATTCTTTCAGGTAGTGAATGCTTTCTTCCTTCCAAAAACAGTCCTGCCAAGTGGAACTTTTTTTTTTAAATCTCACATTTTTTTATTGCTCTCTTATGCAACTAACATTCTTGTTGTTGCTGTTGTTGTTGTTTTTGATTTTTTTGTTTGTTTTTGAGACAGGGTTTCTCTGTGTATCTCTGGCTGTCCTGGAACTCACTCTGTAGACCAGGCTAACCTTGAACTCAGAAATCTGCCTGCCTCTGCCTCCTAAGTGCTGGGATTAAAGGCGTGCACCACCACTGCCCAGGTAAGTGGAACTTCTAAGGTGGTCCTTAGAACCTCCCTTTCTACTGCAACCTTGATGTAGGAACTTTCTTCTAACTGGATGCTCTTCAACTTAGAGTTAGTTCTTAAGAGACCCCTTGCTCTTCCTGCTAGTGCCATTCCTTATCACACACACACACACACACACACACACACACACACACACACACACACACCCCTCTCAGGAATTTGAACGCATGTGGTCAGGTTTGGAGGCAAGTACCTAAAAGTTTAATTTTGAACACAGAAAGTTAATCTTAGACTGTGTACACAAACCTATAATTAGAAGTTAATTATTTAGACTGAAAGCCAGGGACAAATAGACAATCCATTTATTTCCCTATATTCTAATGGATTAATGCTTTCAATTAAATTAGCCAAATTCTGGAAAATTTTCCACCAAGGAAAACAGAGTCCAAGAAAACAGGTAGCCAGTTTTATACTGAAACCCAGCTCATATTCATGTAAATGTGTTTAAAGTCAAACTTGACTATATAAATTTACAAAAACAATGAAACATATTTTGGAAGGCAAAGGCCAATCTAAAACATTATCAACTTTTCAAAAATAGAGCATTCCTATATTTAAAAAGCAAGAAATAATTTATAGCAAAATGGATGACTCAAAGAGAAATTACTATGGTATAGATTCTGATAGTCCCCAAAGACTCCTGTGTTAAAGGCTTTGTGGCGTAACACTACAAGGAGATGGTAGAACCTTTAGGAGCTGGGCCCACAGCTGCTCTACCTTAGCAGATAAGATCCAAGCATGAACCTGGGTTTGAATCCTCAGCATTCACACACAAAGCTGAGTGTAGTCTTCTGTGGCCATAACTCTAGCATTAGGGAACAGAGACAAGGGGACTCTTTCAGCTAGTCTAGCTAAAAGCAAGCTTCCCCTTCAGAGAGAGACATAGTATCAAGGGAATAAGGCAAAGAATGATAAAGCAGGATACAATGTCCACCTCTGGCCTCTACCTGTAACCATGTGTGCATGTACTACAATCACACACAGACAAACATATACATGTACATACGAATGCACCAGGATTTAGATAGTTCAGTGTTTTGAAATGGAAACACTGATCAAGAAATACACTGTCTGCATAGGAATTTTCATATAAGGTACTTTTTACCCTACACAGATGACAGAAGTCATTACAACACAGTTTTCAGAATGAAAAGATGGATGGAACACGAATAGAGAAGAGGGCTGGAGAGATGACTCAGCAGTTAAGAACCCCATATGCTCTTGCAGAGGATTTGATATGGTTGCATATACCCACACGATGGCTCTTATGGCTTCCACAGGTACCAGGCACACACATGATACATAGGAGACATATATGTAGACTACACACATACACACTAATGAGATGATTTAAAAACAAGCAAACAAAAATAATAAAAAGGGACTTTACTCCTTCGTCCTGTGAAAGGGGGTTGTTGATCATCAGATCCTGTTGGCCAACAACTTTCCTTGGATTAGTGATGTGCTGATAAAGAAAGACACAGAATGGTTAGAGGCTAGCGAACTGTAAAGTAAGCATATGCAAATAATTTCAGTAGTTACATTTACTTACTATTTCTTTAATATTGCTATACCAGGCTCTGAGTTCTTTAATTTTACTTATCCACTGACTTTTATCTTGAGGAAGAACACAAAGAAAGAGCTGTTGGGAGGGGGGAAAAAAGAGAAAACTTTGTATAAAAAAATCTACTAAGTATGAACCAATAAATGAAAATTTAAAGAAACACCCAATTTATGACATGTTCCATTCAATATATTCATTTAAACTCCAGATAATATGTTCATGAAATTCAAAGCCAAATAAGCAAAGGTTAAAAGCTAGAATTAAAAACTTAAAACTACAAAACAGATTTAAGCCTTTTGAAGACTTATTCTAAATAAAGAGAAAACCTCATGGAGGTTCAGGTCTAACCTACCTGGGAATGCTAGGAAGATATTGCATGTAACCCCTGGAGAGCAATTCCTAAATTTAATGTTTTGCTTTGAGGATGCAGAGGAAGACCAAGCAATCTGAGGACTGAGGGTGTAGTCAAAGAAGTGGAGCCATTCCTTTTACAGCAGACAACGTAATTTACAACTGGCAATCAGCTTATGGAAACAAGCATTCTTAAAATGACAAATTTGATTCAATTTAGTTTAGTAAAATAATAAAATGAATCTCAACTCTGGCTTATTTTTAGTAAATGAAATATATTTAAAGTTAAACAACGGGAATGAGGGCGGAGCACAAATATCTGAATACGAATTTTCTAGCAGCAGGTCTGCCTGCCTGCCTCTAAAAAGAGAAAAATGTATTTTCATTATTAAATCTAAATTATTAAATCCAGAACTATATAACAAATCATGTATTTCTAACATTTTTTTTGATTTGTACAAACTCTATAGGCTTAATTTATGCAGATAGTCTTAAAAACACTGATAAAGGTCATTTAAAAAATAAGTCCACACCCAAATTCATTCATTTTAGAGAAGAAAAAGGGCTAATTTTCAAAGCAATTAAAATGATAACTGCAGATCATCAATTCCCAGTTTTGGTGACCAATGACCCTTTCTCTCTGAAGGAGAATGACCCAATTTCCTTCTCCTCTCCTGGCTGCCGCCATTGGAAACCTCCAACAAGAGACCGTGAGGTCTTCCCATGTGCGTCTTAGGGAGACACGGGGATGACTGAACAGCAGAGGCTCCTGTAACAGGAACCCCAAGCTTACTTTCCACTTCTCCTGCCCAACATCAAGAAAACCGGAAAATCCCACCTCCGGGGAATTTAATAGTGCAGCTCTGAAGTGGTCACCATTAAAAGAGATGAAAAGATGACTTCAGAGCATTCATTGCTCGCTCCACTTGCCCAGATGGCTGAACATTATTAGTAACTGTCCTATGAAAGAGAAACATGAGTGGCTAAAAAGTTGGAGAGAAACATCCTGAAAATTCAGTGACCCCATTGTGGGTAATCTTCCAGGGCATCAGGTAATGTGTTGATATATTGCAACCACAAACTGTAAATCAATATTTTCTTCTTACCTTCCAGCAAATGCTGCGGAACCTGCTGCTTCTCAGCTGCCCATTAATCCCCTTCTGTCTTACTGTTGCCAAGTAACTGTTGTTTACAAAGAGTTCTTCCCATTCTTTTCTGTAGGAAAGGAGCCAGACCAAGGGGGTCCTTTTGTTAAAATCCTTGTACTACATGAGGAGTGCTACAGGAAACTAATTTTAAATAGCCTAAGAAATTTAACTTTTAAAATGTATGTATTTACTGGTGTTCTGTATCTGAACAAATGGCTGTCTTCTTGGACACAGTTCTTCTGTAGATTTAATGAATATGCAGATCGCTATAATTATCCTAGCTTTGAATTTTGTAATGTCTATGGAGGCTATTCCGTTTCCTGTAAAACACTGGCACTGTAGTTCAGTAAATGTATGAAAAAATGAGTTTTAATAAGAATACATGACACATCTGTGTGTTAATAAAAATGTTTCAAAATTATATAACAAGAAGTAGCCTGTTAGTTATACTGACTCTCACATGAAATAACTGAATAATCCTGTTTTATTTCATGCTAAGCTGGACAGTTAAATGTAACAGAATACTACCCTTTTAAACTATGCATGCTCTTTCCTACTGAAATCCCCACAACTTCTTTCTACATGGTCAGTGTGAAGATGTTAACAGGTACATGGAAATTTCAAGAAAACATCAGAAAATGTAAAAGCCACAGTGTAAAAAAAATTGTTACAGGTAATCCTGAATTTTTTTTGCAGTACCTATGGCTGAGTAGATAAACAACTGAAATGTGCCTTCCAGGCAGTCAGACACCAGGGGCCCAACACCTGTACCTCATTAATATACAAGTAAATCTGCTCAACTGGGAAACAATTGGAAATTAATTGTCCCAAACCATTCACTGAGGTTGACTAAAGGAATCAGACCCACATCCCCACCATCTTGCAACCAAATTAAACATTAAGAATCATTTGTCAACAGTTGAGGCTACTGGGCTTCATGAAATTACCCCAAATTCCATAATACTACAATAAAATTGGCATGAGATGTAAAATTCATTATCAAAGCCAAAACCTCAGAAACAACCTCTGCAGAAAGATATCCTAAAGGAGAAAGCTACTGAAACCTCAGGTTGTCATCGGCCAGATTTCATGCATGTTGAGAAAAATCATAGTATCTGTCTTGAGAAACTGTTATAAGGACTGGGGACATAGTTCAGGGGCATAGGCATTACAGTCTCCAGTCCAGGGCAAATTATTTTTAAAAGTAGCATGATGGCATTGAACTCACAAACTTACAGCAGCTGTAGCTATCTACACGTGTCCTGCCCAAGATCAGTCAAGTCTGTTATCAACTCCAACATGCAGTGGGGAGGGGCTCCTGAGGTGCCCAAATCTGGTTGGGGAGCTTTGCAGCCTAGGGAGAAGAGTGATGGCTACTCTAGGTTGTCAACCTGACTACATCTGGAATTAAATAAAACCCCCACATAGAGGGCATACCTGTGAGGGATTTTTGCTTATTTAAAGTGATAAGATCCACTTCTAATCCAGATCTCTGAGTTGGGAATACATAACTTCAATCTGGATGTTGGAGGTGGCAAGGCACACCTTTAATCCAGATATGGATGTTGGAGGTGGGAAGATCTATCTCTAATCTGGGCTATACCTTCTGCTGGAAGCCTATATAAAAGCATGAAAGAAGGACGGTTTTTCTCTTTGCCTGTTTGAGCTTGCCTCCCTAGAAAGACCATTCCTTCCCTGACATTAGAGCCTACCTACTTTGGGATTGTGGCATATACTGAAGACCAGCTGAGACATCCAACTCCATGGACTGAACAACTACTGAATACTGGAGCATCCATTTATAGGCAGGCATTGTTGGAGTGCGTGGACCTAAGCTTATAAATTATTCTAATCAATGTAGTCTATAAGTTTCATTCTATAAGTTCTGTTATTCTAGAGAACCTTGACTGACACAAGGAGTCATGCTCTTTAGGTGTGTGGCCACTGGTAGATTACCCATGCCCCAGTGGATGAATCTAGGCCCATAGATGTTTGGTCTTAGTGGATTCAATATAAATAAGTGGATTTTTTCAGTTCCAAAGAGTTCTACCTGTATATCATATTGTGTTTTTATGAAGTACCATATCATTTATGCTCACATTTTAAAGGGAAAAGAGACAATTTTAAATCTATTTCTAGTTTATAAAAAAATATAATAAAGAATTCTATTAGCCAAAGGAGTATATAATTCCAGTATTGTATGTAATACCATTTAAAGAAATGATTGTGAAAATACTATTCAAACAGAACAGGAACCATCTAACTCAGAATCAACAGAAATACGGAAAGTATAAGTATGTCAGCACAGACTGTAAAGTGTGGCACCACACGTGGCAAGCAGCAACACTAGGACTGCAGGTGCCAAGATCAACCAGACAAGCACTCATGTTATCTGTAATTACCTCATTTTTAGCTTAAATCACAGGTAATGAGGGAACCCTGAGTCTCTAAAAGGCAATTAGTAACTCTACTGGCTTCTTGCTTCCTGTTATCAGAAAATTTTCAGAAGTTACTCTTATTTCAAGCCCTTCTCCCCTCTGTAATGAAACATCAGAGTATATCGTTCATACATATATACATACATAGAAAATGGAATATAAAATTACCCACAAGCTTAAAGTAATTTCTTTAAACATCTAGGTAAACTATGTCCTTATGCACTTAAGTGCTGCTGAGACCAAGGTGAGGGTTAGTTCATACATGGACACATGCTAAAATCTATCCAAAGTTCTGATTCAGGTTTGGAATAAATTAATACTAGAAATTTTGAGCTCAATCTTATGTTCTATAGAATATAAAGGAGTGTGTTCAATTACAGTTAAAGACTTATAGCCATAATATACTTCAGAAAGATAAAATGTGTATCATATTCTTAATATGATCCTAAATACAAGGTCATATTAACACTGGTAAACTCATTTAATCATACTTTCAGAAGAGGAATCAGGAAAAGTTGCATTAGAAACTTTCTAATTTTACAAAAATGTTTTATATACATGTTTTAATTGAAGTGATAGTGGGTCGTTACATTACTAATCAAAAGATCAACATTTAGAAATGAGGTCAGAGAAGGTTCATGTGGTAGGAAATCTCTGTGATGAAACTGGAGTAACTGTGTAATTTCATGTGTTTCTTAAATATATAATTGAAATGTAAGAAAAAATTCTTTCTGTAACTTCTACTAAATCTGAACTGTCTTTCTATTCACCTCAGTTATTTTAACACTGTGGTAACTTGTTTGGGCTAGATATTAAACTTCTAAAATATGATTAAAGAAATCCAAACGTGGAGGCTCTTTTCTGAGCAATATTAAACTGTTTAAAAATGGGAGGGAGGGAGGAAGGGAAGAAGGGAGGGAGGGAAGGAGGGAGGGAAGAAGGAAGGGAGGGACAGAGACTGAGAAGAGGGAGGGAAGACTAATTGGTATACCATACATTATATAAGAAATACAGAATAGTTCTAGTATCAGAATTAAACTATTTTTCATAAATTCTGACATGGATGTTTATTTAGCAAAACTCAATGTCCCATTTAAAAGCCAACTCTATGTCTTAAGATGCATGTTTCCCAGGAGTAGGATGGTTTCTAGAGTAATACATAGTAGCAACGAATAGATGACTGAGGTGCCTGTTTTAACTTTAATCTTTTCAATGACCTATTTTTAATGCTGGTTTCTAAACGCTTTAACCTCCCTTGTAAGCCACTACCCACTAGAGGTAGTGGAAAAGAAAGGATACGGAGAAAGTGGACTTGTTTAGAAAAGGTTCTTCGGAGCCATTGCTGTCTGTGTTGTCTGGAAATCAGCAGTTCAGTTTACAAGTTAGCAGCAGCAGCTGGATCCACTCACAAAGAGTAATCAGCAGTGGTCTGGGCTGTGCCTCTCTCAGGGAAGCGAAGACTGGTAAAGGTTCAAGAACCACAAGCACTGCACAGCAACTCTATAAGCACACCAAGTTCAGCCGCTCTCACTGTCTGTTGGGTCCTATCCATACCCTTCAAACATCACGTGTCCTCCATGGGTCTTGCCTCAGCACGTGCATCTATCTCAGCTGTCATCACTCTGTTAATCAGCCTGCAGAAGTTGCAAGAAAGCGGGGCACACCACCAAGAAGTGCATTTCCTTCTGTGGAATCCCAACAAATGCAGCTCAACTACACAAAGTAAAGCAGACCAATACATGAGTCCTGATAGCAAAAGATCCTTTATCACATGTCCTATCATGTGCTTGCTTTAGCAGAACATCCCTTAATCTGCTTCTGCTTCAGCTAAATACTCTTTCATGTGTTTGCCCCAGCAAAACACCATCCAACCACCTTTCCAAAGAACACTTAAGTTTCCACTTCAGTTTGTTTTCAAGAGAACTGCAGTAAGTGAGGAGGAGGTGGTACATGCCTTTAATCCCTACACTCAATGAGCAGGGACAGGTGGAACTCCATGAGGTCAAGGTCAAGGCTAACCTGGTTGACAGAGAATTCCAGGACAGCCAGGACTACTACACAGAGACACCTTGTGTGGTGGTTTATATAAGAAGGACCCTCATAGGCTCATAGATTTGAATGCTTAGGCACCAAAGAGTAGCACTATTTGAATGGGCTAGGAGGTGTAGTCCTGTTGGAGGAAATATGTCATTGGTGGTGGGCTTTGACATCACATAGGCCCAACCAGGCTTAGTGGCTTTCTTTTCTAGACATCTAGAGATCTGAATCTTTATAGAACTCTTAGTTACCAGTTAACATGTCAGCCTGTACGTCACCATGCTCCTCATCATTATAATGGACTTTTAGCCTCTCAAATTGTAAGCAATTTGCAATTATAAGAGTTGCCATGGGCTGGTGAGATGGCTCAGTGGTTAAGAGCACTGACTGCACTTTCAGAGGTCACGAGTTCAAATCCCAGCAACCACATGGTGGCTAACAACCATCTGCAATGATATCTGATACCCTCTTGTGGGATGTCTGAAGACAGCTACAGTGTACTTACATATAATAAATAAATAAAAATTTAAAAAAAAAAAAAAAGAGTTGCCATGGTTATGGTATCACTTTACAGCAATAGAATACAGACTAC